GAAAAAAAATGTGGAAGAGTTATTCACCAAATAGAAAACAGTGACCATAGAAGATGGAGTTGGATTAGTACTTGAATCTGAATAAATCTTTTATAATTAAAAAAATAAGGGTTTTAAACATTTATTTTGCTTGAATGTTTGTAAGTACACAGTGTGTGTGCCTAATGCTTATAGGGGCCAGAAAGTGTGGCAAGTCTCTAGAACTGTTAGCCCCAGACCCTTATCTTGAACTTGTCAATCTGTAGAACACATCTTTGTGGGAAATGTCACATGTACTTTATTAATAGTTTCAATGTAGTCATAACTTGTATATATAATATTAAGTTAATTATCACCAGGAAAATTTTCATCAAATTGCATTGCCTAAGTATGCCCTAAAAAAACTACTCAGGGTCAGATCATTGAAGTTTGAACCAGTATCAGCTACTGAACTCAACTACTTTCTTGCCTCCTACAGGTTGTTACTCTGCTGGCCACAATGGTCACAGAGACCCTTGCAGGGGTCATTTGGGAAGAGGGGACCTCAGTTGAGAAAATGTCCTCATCAGAATGGTGTATAGGGCTTTTATTTGATTAATTATTCATGTGGGAAGGACCAGCCCATTGTGGACTGTGCTGCCCCATGGCAGGTGGTCCTGGCTTGTATGAGGAAAGCAGGATGGGCAAGCTAAGCAGCACTCCTCCATGATCTCTGCTTCAATTCCTGCCTTGAGTCCCTACCCTGATTCCCTCTTGATGAAATACAGCTAAAAGATGAAAAATAAACCTTTTCCTTTCCAAGTTGTTCTTCATCATTGTGTATACAGCAATAGAAACCTAACTAGGACAAGGGATTGTATTAAATAAATAGACCCACTGAAAATAGGTAAGTGGACTAGTGTGGTGGCACATGCCTATAACCTTAGCATTCAGGAAACTGAGGACCATGGACTCAAGGCCAACATGGATTATATAACAACAGTTCATTGTAGAAAGCTTTTATCAAATATAAAGAATGGTCCTTTTTGTAATTTTATTCTGTGGAAACTGTTGGTTATAACTAAAGTTTTAAGTTGGTGCTCAGTAGTTCCTAATAAATGGTGTGAAATCTGTTTTGCCTATTCCCTTTGCTATCAAGATAGTGCTAATTTATCTTATTTGCTGAGTGACTAATTATATGGCGAGTCAGAAGAGTGGTTGAAAAATGAAAGAGGCATGGAAAACAATGCCGTGACAGTGTGTTTCAGGCATTAATAATAAAAACAGCTGACTAAGCTCTTGAAAAGATGTGTTCAATTTACTTCATCCACTCCTCCTGTACTCCTGGGAGTTCCTCTGCTTTCTGTCAGGGATTATTTTTCACTGCACATCCTCTGTTAACTCAAGTATTTTGGTTACCTGATAGATAAAACCCTTTTTCGAAATGTGGACATAGAGACATGTTTGTTTTCAAATGTGGAATTGAAAGCTTTCTTGTCCAGTGTCTTTCTGGTGACACACTATGTCATGTACACTGCTTTACATGTGTGGTGAGTAAAAAAAAATCATACAGTTAGACTAGGGTTGGGAATAGTGGTATACATCTGTAATCTTCTCAGATGGAGACAGAAGGATAAGGAGTTTAAGGCAAGCCCCAGCTACATAATGAATTAAAAACCAGCCTGGACTTTACGACCCCCCCCAAAATGTATTATCAGTAGCTATGTTACTGTGTTGACTGTAAGTATACATACACACATACAAATACACAGAAAAATCTCAGCTTTTTACAGATTCTACTAGCACGTTTTAGAGTTAGTTCTTTGTTATACATTTTTTTTGTTTTGTTTCCTTGTGAATTCATTCATTTCTGCAAATAGGAGTAGGTAAAGGCATAAATTTAGATGTATAAAGATATTAGAAATGGATTGTCCAAATTCTGAAGAACATCTGGTACTAATAATGAAGAAAAGACAAAATGTTTGTGGAGTTTTTTGTTTTTTGTTTTTCCATTAAATCTCCAGCCAGTGCTAAGCAGAGGGTCTCTGCCCACATTCCACTCTTTTGGAAGGAGACTAGTGTGAAACTCACTTGTTAGGAACAGAGCTCTTGAGGGGATGGAGAGATTTCTTGGTGGTTAAGAGTACTTTTCAGCGGGGCGTTGGTGGCGAACTCCTTTAATCATAGCACTCTGAGTTCGAGGCCAGCCTGGTCTACAGAGCGAGTTCCAGGACAGCCTCCAAAACAATACAGAGAAACCCTGTCTCAAAAAACCAAAAGAAGAAGGAGAGTACTTGCTTTTCAAAGGATCTGAGTTCAGTACCCAGTACCCATAGCACACATGGCATTTACAACTATCGGTAACTCCAGTTCCTGGCAATCTGATGCCTTTTCTGGCCTCGGGCACCAGTCATACACATGGTGTACACACACACACACACACACACACACACACACACACACACACACACACAGAAAGGTACTTACGCCAGTCATACACATGGCACACACACACACACACACAGAAAGGTACTTACGCCAAGCCTGATAACCAGAGTTTATTCCTTGTGCCCATGTGGTCAAAATAAAGAACTGATTCCCCAAGTTGTTATCCAACTTCCACGCTCATGCTGTGGTATATGCTGAGTCCTTGTGTGGCTCCAGGGACTTGATCTGACTGGGGAGATAAGGGATGAAGAACAGAAACACAGGAACTAGACACTGTGATATGATGGAGAAACCTCAACACTTTGGTAGTTCAGCATGTTTGTTTATAGAGGTAAACAGATTATTGCATAGTTTAACCAAGAAGCAGGGTTTATTGTATACAGCTGAATAGAGAAGACAGGCATAGTTACTCTTAGCAGAATAGTCTGTAGGGGAGTTTTCAGGCAGTAAATATTTAGGGGAAGTAAGCTGTTGTGAATATTTTCTATACATGGACCACAGGAAAGCTTTGCTGTTTTCTCATGAGTATGAGTCCATGGCAACAAACACATTCAGGCAGACTTACTTACGGCTTCCTACAGGTTTACATGCACCATACACAGGCATGCATGCACACATACACGCACAAAGTAAGTCAGTGGTTTTTTTTAAACCATGTTACTGGGCATTGTGTCATACACTTCTAATCCCAGCAGTCAGGAGGAAGAATTTGGGAAATTTCAGTGTTCAAGGCCAACATAGAAAATTCTAGGCAAGCCAAGGCTACATAAAGAAACTGTGTCTCAAGGGGGGGGGCGTTTTTCTTTTACTTCTTTGGGGGAGGGGGTGGACCTAGGAGGCCTGGGAAGTGTGATTGGAGTACATGATGTGAAATTCCCAGATAATCAATGAAAATATTATATTGGGGGAAAAAGGCAATATTTAACTTAAGTAGCTTTGAAGAAGGCTGTCTGCTAAACAGAACGGTCCAGAGGACTATCAAAGGCCTCTGCATAGGAGTCAGAGGGAGTAAAACCATAGCACCATTAGTTTAGGGACAACAGGAAAATTGGAGCTATGGTTGGAGTAGGGTTGGTACCAGTACCCTGTATTGATCACTGAAGGGAAAACATCCGTCCTGGAGACATGTGAAACAGGCCCCGAATCATCTGTTCAGGCCTCAGGTGGACTCATGCATACAGATGAGGCAGGGTTAGACAAGGATGAGTAACACTGCACTGCCAATGGCAGGAAATGCTCTTAATTGTAAATAGAAGCCTGATCCTTCAAGTTTAGAGGTAACCACCTACTTCTTAATTACAAATTATGATTTTTCTTTAGGTTTTCAGTGATGGCTATGGTACAGGATACTCAAGAGATAAGAGCTATATGTACTATTAATTTTTTTAAAGGTAATTGGTAGCCAGGCACATGCCTTTAATCCCAGCAAAGGCAGGCAGATCTTTGTGAGTTCAAAGCCAGCTTAGTCTACAGAGTGGCAGTTCTAGGACAGGCTCCAAAGCTACACAGAGAAACCCTATTTCAAAAAAAGAAAAAGAAAAAGAAAGGTAGTTGGTGACAGAACCCTAGACAGTACAGCCTAGGCTTCGGCCTTTTCATTCCAAAGCAGATGGCCTTGTCACTCACTGTGTTCTAGTCTAAAGCTAGCACTGTGTGGCTTCTAAGGTATCTAATAACACAACTACTGAAAATGCAATTTTGTATCAGAATGAAAGCAACTTTTCCATAAATCTTAAACATTTTTACCAAATGCATTGTCACATTCCATAATAGAAGACTATGCAAAACAAAAAATAAACAAACCTGGTTTAGTTTGACTGTGAATCGTTTCAAATTATACCTATTCTTGGTTATATGTAAAATAACCAGAACCAGGAAATAATTGTGTGTTTAATAGATAATGTAATAAAATTCTGCTTCAGAATTTAAAAATCTAAGGCCGGACAGTGGTGCTGCACACCTTTAGTCCCATCACTCAGGAGGCAGAGGCAAGCAGATTTCTGAGTTGGAGGCCAGTCTGGTTTACATATATGTGGTTATTTTATATTTGTCTTATATTGTGAGTGGACAGCTAGGTTATCAATCATAACCCAGGGACAGTGTGAGCATAAAACCTTTTAGGTAATGAAGATGTAATTGCAAAGCACCACCCTTATATTCTTAGTACTTGGGAAACTTCAGTCGACTGACCTATTTAATCCCATTACATAACAGTAATTGCATTTACTGAAGTCAGGGTTTCTTAGGAGAGGAAATGCTGATCTCAAGTGTAAGAGGGAAAGGGTTCTTGAATAATTCAGAGACTTTACTACTTTTTACAATTCTCTTAGTACAATTGCCTTTTATGTCCCACGTATCTTATAAATTGTTTCTAAGCTGTGGCATCTTAAAAAAAAAAAGTCATCTCTTTAACAGAATCTCACAAGGTATTCTGTGTAATAGCTTGTTTTAAATAGGTTGAAGAGGCTGGTTTTATCGAAAGTGTCTCCTGTAGTAAAGAATGGTTTGACGTATTCTGCTGCTTAAATAGCAAATGAATTCTGACACCTTTAATAAGATTATTAAAGTTAAGGGTTTTTTTTTTCTCTTGACAGCATTAACAAAGAAAGTATTGTTGACGTGGAAGGCGTTGTGAGAAAAGTAAATCAGAAAATTGGAAGCTGTACACAGCAAGATGTTGAGTTACATGTCCAGAAGGTAACTAATTCTATAATACAATGTTGTGGGGACTGGAGATAACAGTTTAGTATGCATGGTAACCTGAATTTGACCCTAGCAACACAAGAAAAGAAAGAGTAAGAGACAGATAAAATTATGGATAGATTTGAGTAATTCTTAGACCATATAGCAAATCTGTATGTTCTTAATAATTGATGTAGCTGGGCATAGTGGCATACACTTTTAATCCCAGTACTCGGGAGGCAGAGGTAGGCAGATTCTCTGTGAGTTTGAGGCCTGCCTGTTCTTTATCATTAGATAAAAACAAGAAACAACAAATTGTAGAATTCTGAGATTTTTGTTAATTATTGAATCAGCTTGTTCTGCGGGACCCACTTAATAGAAGGAGAGAACCAATCCCTGGCTTCCACTCATATCCTGTGATATGAACATATATGCTCATATGTGTGCACACATTCATATAAACAAATAATGTTTGTTAAAGTGATTCTCAAGACAAGGGATAGTTTCTTCCCTCCCTTAACCTTGAGGGATATGAATTCAGAAAGAACACATACACCGAGCCCCTTTCCCACAGAAGGGAGGGAGAGGGTGGAGCACTTAGGGACAAACATAAGCAAAGCTGGTAGATTGAGAGAGATCAGCACATCTATACCCCGCTAATTTGGAAATTAGTTCAATTTAATAGGAGTTAATTGTTGTAGAACTTTGAGATATGGAAAAATCTTGTGTTTTTGCTGAGCTGGCCTGACACAGTACTTTGTTCTTTGTTGAGTCTACTAAAGAAGTTCATTTATATTAACAAAAAAAAGGATTTGTTCTTTCCAACTGATGTGTTTTTCAGTACTCTAATAAAGAAAACTTAATGACTAAAACAAACCTGTATTTTTAATACATGGGAGGGTCCTAGCTCAATGGCAGAACATATCTCTTAACATTAAAAGTGTCAGTAATGAATACTAAAGTCATAGGAACTTACCTGTAAGTTTTGCCATAATAATAATATAGTATTTTACAAAGCATTGAATATGCCATAAACAATTGACTGTCCCTTACTCTTATGTACTCGGCCAACTGTTACTGCTTGTATGTTTTGTGCCAAGTACTATGTGAACTTGAACCCAATGAAGGAGAGGGTGGAATTTCCACTGATTGTGAAAGTCTCAGCTGTTGGATTCTCCAGTTTTGGATTTGAAGGTCAAGATTGTATTAACCAAAGGAAGCCTAAAATTTGTGTGTAGGGAACCATGATAGATAATTCTCCTTTGGTGGCTAGAGTAGAGCCTCTGACACTTTTGAAGGCCAAGGTAGGCCACAAACAGAGAACACAGCTTCCTTTCCTGACTTAACTAGAGGTGATTCCCCTTTGATTCACCAGGCTTAGTAATTTCAGGATGCGAGTGGTAAGGTTATGTTTTTAAGGGTGTTGAGAAAACTCCTCCTTACTCGTGGACTCACTGGTGTTTTATCACTAAAATGTGAAATTGGCGTGTATGAGCATCGAGACTTTGACAACATGAAGAACATGCTCTGTGGCAGCTCTTTCAGAATGGCAAGAAGTGAGATTTGATGTTTGATGATGCAGACAATTGAAGGAGACAACAAAGAATAAAGAAAGGAAGATGGGCAAAGCCTAGCTGGACTGACATTGGTCATAGTGGTAGCACTGCCTGAATACTGTTGATAATAGCAACACCTATGTTAATGCTTTGGTTCTTGTGTCAGACCCCATTTTAATTGAAGCTTTGAGATTGATTTCCCTAATCACAGCTTTTGTTGATACAGCTAGGCCTTATTTATTACATTGGTGTGTACCTAGGGTTTACAAAGTATTTGTGTTATCTTAGTTGTCTTCAAATAATCCATAGAGCCAACAATATTATCTCTGTTAGGTAGATTAAAAATGGATATCATCTTTACTTCACCAAGTGGTTTCAGTTAAAGATGTATGCAAACATAGTTCCATGTAGATTGTCTCTTAAACAAAAGATAACAGTCTTGTTTACTTCTTAATATTTTTGACAATTTCTTGCTTTCAGATTTATGTGATCAGTTTAGCTGAACCTCGCCTTCCCTTGCAACTGGATGACGCCATCCGGCCTGAAGTGGAAGGTGAAGAGGTAAAGTTTATGTCGCATGTGCTTGCTCTGAGTAGTTTGTAGCATGGGAATCCAGTGCCCTCCTTGTAGTGAGTGTTCCTGTAGTTCCATTTTTGTCGTAAATTCACAGGGGCCGGGGGTATAACTCAGTAATAGAAGATCTAGCATTCAGGAGGCCTGAGTCCAATTAAATTACTGTCTTTTTTAATTTTTAAACATAATTATATTGACTCTGGAAATTTCACATCATGTACCCCAATCTCACAATCTTGCCAATCTGTACCCACCCTTCACCCTTGTAACATCCCTCCCAAGGGAAAGTTTAAAAAAATAATAATAAAATTTAAAAAACAAATGCAAATAATATTAACAGACTAAAACAAACAAGAAAAGCAAGCAAAAAAATCACTCCTTGATCTTTCCTGACTCTCCATCAAAATTAATTAAATCAATTAAATTTACTATCATATCTCAGACTTTTTTGGGGTCCTAGATTCTCATAATGGTCCTTGGATCCGTGGGGTTGTAGAGTTACTAATCATATAGCTGTTGCAAAGTTCTTGGTACACTCAAGTGAAAATGAAAAGTATTGTAATAAAAAAAGAAATTTAGCCCTGCATGGTGGAGCACACCTTTAATCCCAGGCAGAGGTAGGTGTATCTCTGAGGTTGACACTAACCTGTGTTAAGGGCAGCTTTTTCCTTGCTATCCGCTTTGGTTTATCCCCCGCCAGCTGCCTGGGCTCTGCCGCATTGTAGTCCCCAAATAAACACACAAGACGCTGTATTAATTATGAAGCTGATGGCCTTGCTTGTCTCTTACTGGCTAGCTCTGCTTTAAGTAATTACCCCATAATTGTTAATCTAAGTATGTCTCTTACCGGAGAATAGTTCCGGGCTCCTACCCCATGGCGTTACATGTTGACTCTCTCCTGTTTCTCCTTCCCAGAGTCCTCCGGGACTCCTAGTCCCTCCTATCTAGATTCCCTATTAGCCAGACAGTGCTTTATTGGCATAAGACTTCACCAACAAACCTGTTCTACAGAATGAGTTCCAGGAAAGCCTGTCTAGAGGGAAGGGGAGATATCAGCGAGTCTTGCGGGAGGGGCCCGATGGTGTTCCTTTGAGCACACTTCTAAAAACTGCTACTCTATGTTATTCTTCTATTAGTTGTTAGCAAGGCTCATAGGTTAAATCCAGGATATACTAAGAATTCAGGTGGGGGAATCTGGTGCCCCAGTAATGAGCAAGTTTGGAGAAGGGAAAGAAAGCAGTGGTGTTTCTGTCCCTTCTCATTTTACCATCTCTTTTTGTCTTTGACGGTTTTGAGTGTATGGGGGTGCCAGTGCATATGTGTATGTGGTTACAGAAGTTGATACTAGGAATCCTTAATCATTCTTCATCTTACATATTGAGACAGACAGAGTATCTCACTTTGAACCTAGAGCTCACTGAGCTAGTCTAGTTAACTCCATGTATTACAGCCAGAGACATGAGAATTCAATTCCAGTATTGACACCTTTATAACATGCTTCACCCTCTAGTCTGAGTCTCCGTCCCCTTCACTTCCCTTCTCTCTCTCGTGTGTGTGTGTGTGTGTGTGAGAGAGAGAGAGAGAGAGAGAGAGAGAGAGAGAGAGAGAGAGAGAGAGAGAGAGAGAGAGAGAGTGTGAGAGAGAGTGTGAGAGAGAGAGAGAGAGTGAGAGAGAGAGAGTGAGAGTGAGAGTGAGTCAGTCTCCCACAATGTTGCTTTGGCTAGCTTCAGACTCAAGAGATCCACCTGCCTCCTCTGCTTCTCAAGTGCCGGCATTAGAGTCATGCCTTTCCATCCCCAGCATCATCTCTGCCTCTAACAGTAACTTTTTCCTGGCTTTCCTCTTACTCTGTTCATTATCTTGACTCCCTGGTTTCCATGTACAATATTCGTATACACATCTCTCACTAAGAGTAGAATGTGTGATGTGCATGTGTGTACTTCAAAATACTGGTAAAATATGTTTTTATCACCCCCCCCCCCTTTTTTTTTAGGAAGGAAGAGCTACTGTTAACCAGGATACAAGATTAGACAACAGAGTCATTGATCTTCGGGTATGCCTCATTTGTTTGTTGATGTGGGTATGCCAATACCAAGATAGGTGGGGATACCATAAAACTAATTGCCACTTGCCTATTAGAGGCATGCGCCACGACCGCTCGGCAGTAATTTATTCTTAATTGGGGAAAGCTATTATGTAAAGAGTATATCCCCGAGAGGAAAAATAAGTATTTACTATCTTGATGAGTTTTATCTGTATCTAAGAATAGGGAGAAATCAAAGAATGATTGTAATTCTTGGTATAGGTACCTGCCACCAAGCATAGTAATCGGAGAGATTAGTTCCAAGAACCCAATGATGGAAGGAGACTGTCAACTCTTGAAACATACAAAATAGGAAAGTGGAGAGATGGCCCAGTGGTTAAGAACAGATGGCTTGCCGGGCGGTGGTAGCGCACGCCTTTAATCCCCGCACTCGGGAGGCAGAGGCAGGCAGATCTCTGTGAGTTCGAGGCCAGGCTGGACCGACAGCCTCCAAAAAAATACAGAGAAACCCTGTCTCGAAAAACCAAAAAAAAAAAAAAAAAATAACAGATGGCTTACTGTTCTTGCACTGTGGTTTCCCAGCACCCACATGACAGCTTCACAACTGTCTGTAATTCCAGTTCCAGGGACCTACATGCCCTGTTTCCTCTGTGGGTACTGCAGTCACATGATATGCAGACATAAATGCAGGCAAAACACTCACAAACATACATTTTTAATTTTAAAAAGTTAAACCAGGTGGTGGTGGTACGTACCTTTGTTCCCAAGGAGTTGGGAGGCAGAGACAGGCAAATCTGTGAGTTCCAGGTCAGCCTGGTCTACTGAGAGAATTCTAGGACAGCCTCGAAAGCTGGAGAAACTCTGTCTCACAAAACCAAAAATAAATAAGTCAGTAAATCCATTGGGGGGGAGCGGGGCCTGGAAAGAGTACTTGCTTTCTTGCCAAGAGTCCAGGTTTGTTTCCAAGCACACAGCACTCTCGTGGAAGCTCAATGTCTACAACTCCAGTTTCAGAGCAGACCCAGTAATGATGTGTTCTGTTCTCTGCAGGTAATGGGTATGCAGGTAACAAGTAGACAAAATACTTACATGCTTTTGAAGTGTATATTTTTTATGCCTTTCTAAGAGTCATTAACAAAACCATGGAATCCTGGAACACTTACAACAATTAGACAGTTGGTAGTCAAGTGTCTGTGTGCTCATTGTCTACTTCAGTACTTTTTTTTTCAAGTAAAAAATGAAAATCTATATTTCTAATGAATTTTTATACCCTTGAAATACAAAAGCTATTCTTGGCAGTATAGTTTGTTTGCCAGCATATTGGGATTTATGACATTGCAATTTTACAATGTTTTTCTAAAACTGGAGATACACAATGATTTCTGGGTGTTAAACAGATGCATGTCTTATATTTTAATAGTTACATGATACAACTTGCAAATTAAAATCATGCGTTTATGGGACCTGCTGCTAAGGATGCACCATGATTGAAAGGGAAATAATGGTAATACAAATGAAACCCACCATGACAGAAATGAGTAGAGGCAAAAATAAATTGAAGTAACACTGGTTTATGTGAGCAGCAGACAACGTTGGGAGGGCTGTGAGAATCCTAGGTGGGTAATTGCCATAGCCAATGGCATTTTTAACAAAGATTTGGATGGTCTCAGGTAATTGAGGGAGTTTCCTGGGTGTGTTGTAACTGTTGGCCTGAATCAGAGTGCTGTAGAGGTGCCTGACACTGTTGTGTTGCAAACCACCCATTCTCAGCCTGTAACACATTTGTCTTGTATACAACCCCTGCGTGCTGCCAAAAGTCTCCTTAGTGTAGTAATATGATTGCAGTTTTGCTGTGATTCCAGCTTTTTATTACAGAGGTTACTTGTAATTAATTATAAATTCTACATCAAGTTGGTTTAAGAAAAAGCGAATAGCTCATTTGGAATTAAGAGAGGTATAATTTTAGAAATAACTTTCTATCCAGTTTTTTATGACAGAATGCCTTTTGTCAGCAGTGCTTGGAACTGGAAATATTTTGAAGTCTTTTCAGATTTAGGAATGTGTACATATACAAACTAAGATACCCTAGAGAATGGGACCTAAGTTAAATATGAAATTCATTTATAACCATATATATACATAGTCTGAAGGTTATTTTATATGTAATATTCTAAGTAATAGTCTGCATGAAACATGGTCTTGAAGTATGGATTTCTCTACTTGTAGCATCATGAGTGTTCAGAAAGATTTTAGAGCAGTTCAGATTTTCAGATGAGGATGCTCACCAGATCTCTTACTCCTCAGTCCAGCTTCCCAGCCATTAACAGTTTCATTGTAAACTTGGGCTTGCTTGATCTTTTTTTTTTTTTTCTCCCTGTCAACATTCAGATTCTTCCCCCTGAATGTTGTTTTCTAATAATGTGACCTAAGAGAAAATAATTCTGTAAGTAGAGTCTTGCTTTTTTCCCCTTCTGTTTTTACCTCGTCTATTAACTGAGTTATCTACAGCTAAAATTGATCTATATTTTAAAAGGGTTGACAGAAAATAAACTTTCAGTTTTTGTAAGTATTATTCTACCTAGAACGACTGGATTTGACCAAAAGACAAAAACTCCCTTTTCTATTACTTAGATTTTAGTTGCTGCCATCTAATGTCATAAGGATGCTTTGTGAAGGAGCAGATGCTGAAGCCTGACTCGGCAGTAGAGTACAAGATTCTCAGGCTCTGGGCTGCTCTATTGAGCAGTGTTTTCCTCGAGGCAAGTTGCCATACACGGATATTGAAGCTTCTTAGTAATAACTATGTCCTGAGTACAAAGTTAAGTGGTGTGCACTCAGTACAAGTATGGTTTATTCTCTGTGTCAGAATTCTTGGCAGCATTACAGATAATCAAAATAATTGAGCATTTTCTTTGAAGCTGTTTCTTGCTGCTTTTTAAAGAATACCTTATGTTTAAAATAAGTTCTGATTGACTTTTCTTGCCAACCTCATTCTTGATTTCAATGGTCCTCATTCCCCGTCCTCTTACCTCAGCCTCCTAAAAGCTGGCATTGAAGGTATGCACTCAACTCATATCTGAGGACCATTTAAAAGAGAATATTCCCTGGCATATAGGTGCTAGATAGAAATTGGGACATGCTGGAATTATCTAAATAATTGTGTTCAGTTTCTTGTCTTGGTTTTTATTTGTGTCTGTGGTGCTAGAGATTAAACCCAGGCAGGGTCTTATGCATTCTGGACAAGAAGTCCACTGCTGAGTTTCACTGCTGTCTTCTTGTTAGTTTTCTTCTTCTGTGATAGAAATGGAGCACAGGACTTTTAGTGTGTCAGTATGCAAGGCAAATGACACAGCCCCGAGCTATAGCCCCAATTCCTTCTCTAATAAACTAAAACCCATGTTCCAGCGCCTCGCAAGTCCCTTGAGGAACCTAATGGGGGAGGGGATGTTTTTCTCATATATAACATGGATCTGTTTTCTTCTCACATTGACAGATTTATTGATAAAATCAGGAAGCCAAAAATGGGGGCACAGTAGGTGGTAGGGATGTGTTTATTTTTTAGATTTGGTGGGGTTTTGTTTTTTGTTTGTTTTTGTTTTTTGTGGGTTTTTTGGTCTTGTTTTAAGTTTTTTTTTTAAGATTTATTTAATTTTATGTGTTTGAGTCCTGTATTTGCATGTATGCCTTTATGCCAGAAGAGGTCATCAAATCCCACTAGATATGGTTGTGAGACACCATGTGGTTGCTGGGAATTGAACTCAGGATCTCTGGAAGAACAGCCAGTATTCTTATCCCCTGAGCCATCTCCAAAGCTATAAAATTTGTTTCTTAAGAACATAATTAAGTCAAATTTCTATTCATGCTATGAGTTATATCAGTCCAGAGCTTAATGTCCATTTGATAAGAAGATAAAAGAAGTTTAGTTAGGCTAGCTAAAAAAAACAGTGAGTGGGGCAGTGTTGGCACACACCTTTAATCGCAGCACTAGGAGGCAGAGGCAGCAGATGTCTGTGAGTTTGAGGTCAGCTTGGTCTATCTACAGAGTGGGTTGCAGGACAGCCAAGGCTACACAGGGAAATCCTGTCTTGAAAAACCTTTAAAAAAAATAGTGATGAAGTGTACTAGTGGCCTTTACAGAATATATTTCATTAAAGAGAATTGTGTCATACCTCTTTGACTTACAGGTTGCTAGGTTTTAGAAAGCAGAAAAATATAGTTTGTAGTGATTGAGTGAACCAGTGTTTCCTTAAATCACATGACACATGAACAAGTGAATAATTGAGCAAGTAAATAAATAAGTAGAGCCATAACTCTTCCTCTCCAGCTTGATGTGAATGTCTTAAAAGTGAATAATTAAATAGTTATAACAGATTAGAGGCTTTAAAAAGGTTATCTCCATTGTTTTGTTGAAGTTACTGATTTGTATCGTTGAATTAGAATTATAAAATACCATTGCTTAAGTATGTCCTGGTTTGGGGTGTCAGGATGGCTCAAGGTATAAAGGCGCTTTCATTCGTGCCCAGTAGCCTGGTTCCTTCCCTGGTTCCAGCATGATAGAAAACGATAGCTAAGTTCATTAAGTTAGTGTTTGATCTCGACACATGAGGTATGACACATGCATAAAAAAATAAAATGAATAAAAAAAATTTTTTAGCTCCTAACCTAGCGGGGCATTGGTGGCGCACGCCTGTAATTCCAGCACTCAGGAGGCAGAGGCAGGCAGATCTCAGAGTTTGAGGCCAGCCTGGTCTACAGAGTGAGTTCCAGGACAACCTCCAAAGCAATACAGAGAATCTTTGTCTCAAAAAACCAAAAGAAAAAAGAAAAAAAAAGTCCTAATCTCCAAAAACTCAAGGAGTTCTTTCCTATAAAGAAGATGCTGAGTAACCCCCTGGTCCTTAGTGTCTGCATCGGGGTGCAGTGCGCACCTAGGCAGGATGAGTTGTGGCTATCCCAGTGTGGGTTGAAGCCAGGTATTTACCAAACACCTACCTGGTTATAACATTTTTTCTCCCCTGGGCTAGAGAGATGGTTCATTGGTTAAGAGCACTGACTGCTCTTCCAGAGGCCCTGCGTTCAATTCCCAGCAAACACATGGTGGCTCATAACCATCTGTAATGAGATCTGGTGCCTTCTTCTGGCCTGCAAGAACACATGCAGACAGAACACTGTATACTTAATAAATAAATAAAGTCTTTCTAAAAACAACTTTTTTTCTTTAATGTATTATGCAAGACTTATTGATAAGTCACTTCCTTTAACTGTAGCACAGGTAATTATTAGAGATCTCTGGCCAGTGATTGAGGCTGAAGTAAACAAAGGAGCCGAAGTAACTGAGGATGTAAATCGGGAAATTAAAGAAAATATAAAAGGTGACAGACAGCAGCAAACTCTTAGAGGCTGCTGCTCGCTGCCTTATGTGCCATTGTGAGATGCTGAACTTTTTCTGTATTAATTTTCTTAGTTTAAGGAACAAATGCATAGCTATCTACAGTTAGTATATAATTGGTGGTTAGTAACATGAATGTATATGTTGTCTTCAGTAACTTATTACTCCATGCTGAGCTCTTATTTAGAATGTTTATATACTACCTAAATATTGATACATCTCACTCAATGGACTGCATTTAAAAACAGTCTCCAAGAGAATCTATAAGCAATTGTTAAATATTTCTCTTGAGTGGCATTCTTACAAATTAGAACACCTGCTCAGGAAGCATTTCTAGTGAGAATGCTCAGTATGATCACATATATTCATTAGATTGCAGTGTGTCTCATCACCTTCTGGCTTGGGCTGTTGTGCTCCAGCTTCTCCAGTACTATTGGACTTTAAAAATGGCTGAGAGCAGGCATAGTTTAACTTGCTTGGTGTGCCAGGTTGATTTAATTAGATTTTCATGCTATCTTACAGACATCAACTAGTCAAGCCATCTTCCGTCTCCAGTCCGGCATCTGCCATCTCTTCCGAGAAACTTTAATTAACAAAGGTTTTGTGGAAATCCAAACTCCTAAAATTATTTCAGGTACGCTTCAAGATAATATATCCTGTAATTAAAAATCCCCCCCAATGTTGATTATGTTGATTTTTAAACTGAAATAATACCAAGAGTCCCTTAAGGTTTGATGTCATGGGACTGTTTATAAGGACAATACCACCACCATCCACAGTGTTCTACATTCTTCCTTCAAGAGTCACTTTGTAGTAACAATGAGGAAATGAAGTAGTAACAAAGCACAATTCCTACAGTGTCAGTTAGGCCACCTGTATTTTTGTAGTATGTTAATGTCCTTCAAAATTGGTACAGCAGTTTGATTTTATGTAAACTTCATTGTAAAAAAATCACTAAATACCTATTGGTGTCATCCTTGTGGGAGAATCTTGTCTTGATCACTTTACCCTGTTAGAATTGCTTACATAACACTTAAAAGATGAGTTATAAATATCATTCTAGCTGGTCCTGCTGGCAAACATCTTTAATCTCAGCATTCTGGAGGCAGAGGTAGGTAGATCTCTGTGAATTCAAGGCTAGCCTGGTCTACATAGTGAGTTCCCAGCTAGCCAGTACTACGTAATGAGAGCTTGTCTCAAAATCATCATCATTGCAGGACTTAGTCGGTAAAGGGCTTGCCTTGCCACTGCCACCAAGCCTAACAATGTGAGTTCAATCCCCAGGACACATAGAAGGAGAGAACCAATTTTTCTTAAGCTGTCCTCTGACCTTCACATGTACTTGACAGGCAAACATTACAATAAATGAGTAAATATTTTTAAGGAATGTTATTCTTGCCAGGCGGTGGTGGCGCACACCTTTAATCCCAGCACTCGGGAGGCAGAGGCAGGTGGATCTCTGAGTTTGAGACCAAGCCTGGTCTACCGAGCGAGTTCCAGGACAGGCTCCAAAACAGTACAGAGAAACCCTGTCTCAAAAAAACCAAAAAAAAAAAAAAAAAAAAAAAAAAAGAATGTCATTCTTGGGGCTGGAAAGATAGCTCAGTGGTTAAGAGCACTTATTGCTCTTGCAGGGGCCCAAGTTCAGTTCCTAGTTCCAACACAGTTGCTTACAACCTTCTGTAACTCCAGTTCCAGGAGATCCAATGCCTTCTTCTGTCCTCCTCTGGTACAAGGTGTGCATATGATACACATGCGTACATGTAGACAAAACAATATACACAGATACATTATTAAAAGAGTAGTATTTAGCCGGGCATTGGTGGTGCACGCTTTTAATCCCAGCACTCGGGAGGCAGAGGCACGCGGATCTCTGTGAGTTCGAGGCCAGCCTGGTCTACAAAGTGAGTTCCAGGACAGCCTCCAAAGCTACAGAGAAACCCTGTCTCGAAAAACCAAAAAAAAAAAAAAAAAGAGTAGTATTTAGATATAGATTAAAAAATGGAACATTGCCCTCTGACAGAAGAAAAATGCCTGACATGGTGAGACCCTGTCTCAGGAAAAAGGGAGTATCTTTTGCCCTTTATTTATTCATTTAGTTTTTACAGCCTTCAAGTAATAGGTAGGAAATGGATTCCAAAAAGGGGGACCATTTACCTGCAATTTTTGATTTTCTAGGTATTCTTTTTTCTTTTAAGTGAACTACCTTTTTTAAAACTAAGAATGACATGGATTAACATAAAATTGATTATGATGATAGAAATGTTTGTTTTTCAGCTGCCAGTGAAGGAGGAGCCAATGTTTTTACTGTGTCCTACTTTAAAAATAATGCCTACCTCGCTCAGTCCCCACAGCTATATAAGCAGATGTGCATATGTGCTGATTTTGAGAAGGTTTTCTGCATTGGACCAGGTAAGATATTGTCATTTATTTGCTGATTAGTTGTAAAATTATGTTGAGTAAAATAGTTGTATTAAGTCCATTAATTATAGAGTAGTTATGATATTAGAAACACTAGACTTTAGATTCTTTGAAAGCTTGAATCCTTTTATCTGCTGATTATACAGATACTATACAGAATTTAAGAGTTGTTCGTGTGTGCAAAGCTCTTGGTTCAATTTCACAAAAACCGAAAAGAAAAAGATACTAAACTTAAAGATAGAAATGACATAAGTGTGTGCGTGTCTGTGTATGACAATATCTCATTTTAAAAATACATGCTTCGAGGACCAACCAGGCATAGTGATACACATCTTTAATTCTGGGCCTCAGAGGGAGGTGAATCTCAGTTCCCATGCAGGTGCTGGGAATCAAACCTAGGTTCTTTGGAAGAGAATGTAGTGCTCTTAACTGCTGGACCAGCTAAAATTCCAGTTCCAGGGGATATGATGTAGCCTCTGTGCATGATACACAGGCGTGCATGCAGGCAAAACATCTATATACATGAAATAAATATTTTTTTTTGTTTTGTTTTTCAAGATGGGGTTTCGCTGTATTGCTTTGGAGTCAGTCCTGTAATTCGCTCTATAGACTAGGCTGGTGTCAAACTCATAGATCCACATGCCTTTGCCTTCCGAGTGCTGGGATTAAAGGCGTGCACCACCAACGCCTGTCAAAATAAATATTTTTAAACCTACCAAATTATTGTATATATAACTTTTTTGATAGCTTAACAAAGCTTAAATTAAGCTTTTGCTAATAGAGAAGTTGGCACAAAAGTTAAATGTTTTAACCGGGTAGTGATGGCACATGCCTTTAATCTCAGCACTTGAGAAGCAGAGACAGGTGGATCTTAGTGAGTTCTAGGCCAGCCTGGTCTACAAAACAAGTTCCAGGACAGCTAGTGCTGTTACCCAAAGAAACCCTGTCTAAAAACAAGCAAAAAAAAAAAAAGTGTAAATTATCTGAAATTATTATTTGCCAGACGTATATTGCATACATATTCTTAGGCTGGGGTCTGTGTCCTTAAAAGAATCAACGGCACTCGTCTGATGCCAATAGGGATGTAAATGTAGGTTCTAGTAGTACATTTGCAGTGAAACCTGAGGCTTAGCTCTCACAAGCACCAAGGTAATTGCTGGTACACCTCTTACAGATCATGCCTTGAAAGGTATGGAAACAAATGTTAATCCCTGCTTTAAGTCTGTGTCAGGGAGCCATGTGATGGCTCATTCCTGTAACCCTGCTACACTTAGGAGGCTGAGACAGGAGGATCATTGTAAGTTCTAGACAGTCAAGACCTTGTCTCAAAAGCAAAAGAAGACTGTCTCGAAAAACCAAAAAATAGAAGAAGAACCGGGTGGTGGTGGCGCACACCTTTAATCTCAGTACTCAGGAGGCAGAGGCAGGCGGATCTCTGTGAGTTTGAGACCAGCCTGGTCTACAAGAACTAGTTCGAGGACAGCCTCCAAAGCCACAGAGAAACCCTGTCTTGAAAAACAAAAAACAAAAAAAGCAAAAGAAGAATCAGAACAATTAAGAGCTAGTGTAGAAAGATTGTTTGCTGGAGTCACCATGAAAGAAAATTCAAACTAATGTGAGCTTTAAGAACATAGTAGGGTATATAAAAACTGAGATAATGTTCTGGTAGAGTGAACAGGGTAGGTAAAAAGCATGGACTACCAGAGAAAACAGAAATAAGAGTAGTTAGAGATTGGAAGTGTAGGCTAAGGTTAAGTTGAAAAGTAAAGGTTCTAGAATTTCATCATCTTCTGTCTTGTGATAGTAGTCATTTGGAGTCTGAGCTTCCCAGCAGGCATGTGCTACAGGAGTGTTAACACGTCAATGCAGTGGGAGATGAGTTGAGCGCGTCAGAAGGACTGCAGGGGAATCAAAGGAAGCATGGGAGTTGGAACGTGTATAATGTTACTTCATTTATGCAGTTTCATTTTGCTTGAGCCACTTTTTAATAAAATGGAGACAGACTCACTATGTTGGTCATAATTGAGTCTGCTTTTAATTATTGAGGTGGTGCCTCAGGATTTTGCATTCCCTAGGGGTTCTCAAGAGCCTCTTTTATTAATTTGCATTTGGTTCTAGGACTTGGGAGTTGGTAATGAACTTGCTGTCTAGGAGAATGCTAAAACAGATGGCTTATCGGTGCTCCATCTTACCCTATGGGGTTGGGAAAATAGTACCACTTGGGCACGACCAAGTAGGATTCTGCATTTACGTCCTCACTTACACAAGACTTAAAATACTGTGCTGTTTTTCTTTGGTTAACTTAACAGTTTTCAGAGCTGAAGACTCCAATACCCATAGACATCTGACTGAATTTGTTGGTTTGGATATTGAAATGGCTTTTAATTATCATTACCATGAAGTTGTAGAAGAAATTGCTGACACCTTGGTGCAAATATTCAAAGGACTTCAAGAAAGGTTGAAATTATTTAATATCTTGAAATACCCTTAATTTCAAAACAATTGCAATTTTTTGTTTTTTTGGTGGGTGGGGAGGTGATAGGGAATGATACAGTTTTTTTGTTTTCTTATTTTCACATTGATAGTTTAAGAAAATTTCCAAAACTTGTTCTAGATATCGATTCTTTCTGTTATGTAATATGAGTGTTTGAAATGAACCAAGATTGTGTCTTTACTATATAGACTCAGTTTTGCTGCTAACCTCCTTAATAAACATAAGGCCCAGTTTGCAAAACAGCATTCTTTTTATATTTCACAGGTCATTTGGAAACCATTTGTTGTTCTGTCTCTTGTAATTTGGACTGTCAGTGCCATATTCCACTGTGTTTATGTTGCACAACAGTATAGACGAAGGACTATCAGTGGCTCAAATCAGTGAGAGACATGGATTACATAATGTCAAAGGAACAGTCGTTTTCAAATCAGTGACTGTACCAAGTGTAGCACACACCTATAGTACCATATGGGAGTAAACTTTTCTTTCTTTTTTTACTATTTAATTGTGCATATGTGTGTGCAAGTGTCCTCAGTCTAGAAGGTGTCACTTTCTTTGAAGCTAGAGTTATAGGTGGCTATGAGAGCCACCTGATGTGGCTTCTAGGAACTGAACTGGAGTCCTCTGCAAGAGAAGTATGTGCCCTTATTTTTAAAAAGTTTTTAGATTAGGGATATTAAGCCTCACAAACCCTATGTACTTAACACATTGTTTTAGCCATTATAGATCTATGGCTCATTTTTATTGTGCCCATTTCCCTTGTCTCTATTTGAATCAAGTTTCTACTATCATTTCATCCATAAACATTTGAGGAAAAATATGCTCTTCTAAGTCTTATTAAAATATCTCTGAGCCAAGTATATACAGCTTTAAATGGCAGCATTTGAGACAGTGTCAGAGAGGATTACAAGAATGAAGCTATCCAGGGCTACATAGTGAGACCCTGTTTCAGAAGAAAGAAAGCATCCTTCACTAGAGAAACACAGTTCCTTACAGTTATCTTTTGTCTCAGCTGCTTTGTGCAGGTACTGTGGGGACATCACAGGAGGGGAGAAGTAGCATGCCTTAAATAACTTAGAAAGTGTGGTGGGAAGGCAGAACAAGGCAGACATGCTTTGGGGTTCTCTTGAGGATAAGACATGTTTACAACTAAAATCAGGTTGTTTTTAAAATGCTTCTGTGTAACAGCTTTCTGGCTGTCCTGGAACTCACTCTGTAGACCAGGCTGTTCTTGAATTCACAGAGATCTGCCTGCCTCTGCCTTCCAAGTCCTGGGATTAAAGGCATTCACAACCCTGCTGCCCCGCTTATGTTTCTAACAGTGTTAGCTTAGAAGAGTTGAAAATAAAAATTTTAATCCTGGGCTGGAGAGATGGCTCAGGGTTAAAAGCACTGACTGCTCTTCCAGAGGACCTGGGTTCAGTGCCCAGCACCCACATGGCAGCTAACAACTGTCTGTAACTCTAAAATCTGACACCCTCACACAGACATACATGCCGGTACAACACCAAAGCACATAAAACAAAACATAAATAAATAATTTTTGTAATTTTTAATCCTTTAATGCCACTGTGATTTTTTTTAAAAAAGCATAAAGCCAAGAAATGGAATTAAGTACTTTAAGTATGTTAGTTCTTAAAATTTTGATAATGCTTTTCTTGGTACAGTCACAGGTTCAAAGACCAATATTATAGATTGCTTACAGTGACCTCTTGGAAGAAACATTTAACCAACATTTTATTAACTAAAATATTGAACATACAGGTTTCAGACTGAAATTCAAACTGTGAATAAGCAGTTCCCATGTGAGCCATTCAAATTTTTGGAGCCAACTTTAAGACTGGAGTATTGTGAAGCTTTGGCTATGCTTAGAGAAGCAGGAGTTGACATGGGCGATGAGGAAGATCTAAGGTTGGTCTCTGACCTTTTTTCCTCTCTTTCTTTCTTTTTAACTTTAATGCTTAGGTTTAATGTATTTCACCTGATAACTATTAACTTTGGTATATTGTATATACTGCTTTACATGATAAACATTAAAATATTATATTTAATATTGTTTGACTAGGCTTCAGTGATTTTGTTGATAACTTTTTGTTTTTCTCCCTATTTATGACCCTTCTATGAATATAGAAAGACAAACCTGGTGGCACAGACCAGTAATCTCAAGTATTCAGGAGGGATACAGAGCCTGGGTTACAGAGCAAGTTTTGGGCCGGCCCAAGCAGCTTAGAGAGACCCTACCTCAAAATGAATGAAAAATCTGAAGAGATGGCTCTGAGGATAAGAATCTTAAAAGTCTTGCTATTCTTGCAGAACAAACAGTCACACAACAAATAAATAATCTTTGAAAAGTAAATAAAAAGCATATTAAGGACTGGAGAGATGGCTCAGCAGTTAGGAGCACTTGCTGCTCTTTCAGAGGACCCAGGTTTGATTCCCAGTATTTGTAATGTTACTTTTCTTTCAAGGGTAAATAATATTCTAAATCTTGCCAGGTATTGGTAGCTCACGCCTTTAATCCTAGCACTGGGAGGCAGAGGCAGGTGGATCTCTATGAGTTTGAGGCCAGCCTGGTCTACAAGAGCTAGTTCCAGGACAGCCTCCAAAACAACAGAGAAATCCTGTCTTGAAAAACAAAACAAACAAACAAAAAGAATAGTCTAAATCTCACTCCTACAGTATTGGGCATAAAATTACCAATCTATATGTTATCAATATGCTATATGTTGTTACCTAAATTACTCCTTATAAGTTAGGAAAAGATTGCATACTAACGATAGAAAGGAAATTGCTGTCGACATAACATTTCATTCAGAGTTTCTGGTTAAAATAGTTAAAAAGTCATCACAATAGTACATAGTAGATATGTGGAAGAAAAAGGTGGCGATTGCCTTTTTTTTTTTCTTTCTTTCTTTCTTTCCAAAAATCATACTTCATCTGGATTTGGTATGTAAAATTTAAAAGAAAAATATTTTTCAGCATACCCTTTATTGTTAAAAGAAACCATAAATTTTGTAACTAGTTCAATTCAAACAATATATTTTTAGGTATTTTGGGAGTTCTTAAGTAACAAAAGTGCTAAAGAAGGTGCCTCTTTGCCAGACTGCCTTTAAAGACTTGGTTGTACTGTTGTCATATCACAAACCTTTGTGATGTAACAAAAGAGGAGACTGTTTATGACAGACCCTCCAGTGAAAGCAGTATAGTAAAAACAGTAAAGTTTCCCTCCTGTTCTGAATCAACAAAATGCTTATTTCTTCCTGGTTGAAAATGTATATGTATGCTAAGTAGCTGGAGGAGGCAAGCTTCCTGAAATGATTGTCTTAAAAAATAAGCAGGGTGAACAGCTAACTGACAGTGTGTTTGGGTCAAAGTTTATTATCCTCCGAGAGCCTCAAATAAAAAGGGGCCTGACTAATTTATAAAGTATTTTAAGTTATTACTTGATGGGGCCTGGAGAGATGGTTTGGTAGTTAAGAGGTCTGCCTGCCCTTCCAGAGACAGTGAGTTTAGTTCCCAGCACTCCCATTAGGTTACTTCACAACTACCTGTGTAACTCCAACAACCACTCACAGACACACAATTAAATACAAATATCAAAAACCATGAGCCAGGCTGTGGTTAATCCCAGCACTTGGGAGGCAGATCTCTCTGAGTTAGAGGCCAGCCTGGTCTACAGAGCGAGTTTCAGGATAGCCTCCAAAGCCACAGAGAAGCCCTCTCTGGAAAAACCAAAAAAAAATTTTTGTTTCATCTTCAAACACTAGTGTTTCTTTTCCAGTACACCAAATGAAAAGCTGTTGGGTCGTTTGGTGAAGGAAAAGGTAGGATTCATATTTTTATTGATTTTTTTTATCTGAAATGTACCTTAAGAGACACCAGTAGCAGAATATTTATCATCCTCTTAGAGTTAGTAAAGAGAACTGCACTTTTGTTCTTAGAAAAAGACAAGTGTTTAGCAGATTATAACCAACAGTTTGATTAATTCGGTGTGTGACATTCATGCAGTCATACAGAAGTACCTCTAAAGGACACTTCAGATTGTCAGGTTAGTGAGGAAGGGCTCTAAATTATAAAAGTTCTTACCTGTGCCCTCTTGCTCTTATTTTCTAAAACTAAAGCCAAAGGAGTGTTGTTCTTTTTAAAAGGACACTAATTGAATGAAGCTTAGAAAGTCCTTGAGCTCCTCCTGCTGGTTGAGCTTTTTCTGAAGTCCTGCAGTGTTAGCTAGACCCTGAGCTTGCTGTATCAGCAGCCTGTCACTCTGCTGCCATTCTCTGCCATCTGCACTTTTAACAAAGGGGAATGCAGTCAGTAAGAGTTGAAATGTAATTTCTTTTTAACTAAGCTTGTGAGGTAGTAAGAAAATGTCAAACGCTTCAATAGTATTTATTTCAGTAGTTTTCATTTGAAGAACATTACCCAATTTTATTTAGATATCTAAACAAAAAACTGTATTATTGGGGAAATGATTCAGGGGTTTTATGTTAGTTCAATAATTAATATTTAGACATTTCCACAAAGTATTATATAGACTTAATGTAGTTTCTTTCTTTTAATAGTATGATACAGACTTTTATGTTCTTGATAAATATCCATTGGCTGTAAGACCTTTCTACACCATGCCTGACCCAAGAAATCCTGTGAGTAATTTTATTTCAAATCACCTATTTGTGGGGAAGAAAGAACTTTCTAGTAACCACATTTGAATGCTGTAGTAAATTAGTCCCAAGAACCTAACTTAAAATTCTGTTCCTAGTCATTTTTCCTAAAGATTTACTGGGGATGTAAATGTCAAATATAGTACTAGATACCCGAGAGTTTAGCTAGAATCTCAGTGTTGACCTCAAACTCAGAATTTACCTTTCTAATTTTTATACTAATGTGGTAAGTTCTGGTTTCATTTGATAGATTTGAAGAAAATCAAAGCTTATTTTATATTTTAAGCGTTAGTAATCCAGATGTTTTATGGGGTTTTGTTTTGCAGTAGTTTCTAGTCCTTAGTAAACATGAACCATCTATATAGCTTAGGGTTTGTTTTATTTATTTATTTTTTCTAATATAAGATCTTACTATGTGTCTTACTATGTGGAACTTGCAGTGTAGACTAGGTTGGTCTAGAACTCAGGTGTCTGCCTGCTTCAGCTTCCCAGGTGTACACCACCAGCACCAGACTAGAGGACATCTGATACTGAGCCCTACCCTTAGAGTTCCTAATCATTGATCTGGGGCAGGTTTAGAGGTTAGCATTTGTGGCTTCAGGCAATGCTGAAGTGATCTGGGAGTCAGAGCCATTGTTTACATGAGAATTAAAACTGATAGAACCAAAATGCCTGATAGGCCACAAGTTAAGCATAAGTTAACGCAGTTTTAATTTAATTTTCCTTAAATATTTTCTTAAATAGGTTACTTACTTATTGGTACTTTGACCAAAATTCACATTGTACTTTAAAACTTTTTAGGTTTAGGTGATAAAGTAAAATAAAACTGAGCACTGATGCCGGGCGTTGGTGGCGCACGCCTTCAATCCCAGCACTTGGGAGGCAGAGGCAGGCGGATCTCTGTGAGTTCAAGGCCAGCCTGGTCTACAGAGTGAGTTCCAGGACAGCCACCAAAGCCACAGAGAAACCCTGTCTCGAAAAACCAAAAAAAAAAAAAAAACTGAGCACTGCTGTTTGGTGTTCTGGGTATTAGGAGGTGTGGTAGAAAGAGAATGGAAATCTAAACAGAGAACAAAAACTGCCCTTAGCAGTTCTGCCATAGACAGGAAATTATGTTGAAGGGTAGTCGTTAACTAGGGAAAGACAGCATAGATTTTTCTCCCCACATGTGTATCATGGGAAATGTGATAACATAGTACCTAAAGAATGATGGTGGTTCATTTCATTTTTCTTCTGCAGAAACACTCCAACTCTTATGATATGTTCATGAGAGGAGAAGAAATATTGTCTGGAGCACAAAGGATACATGATCCTCAGTTGCTAACAGAAAGAGCTTTGCACCATGGAATTGGTAAGTAATTAAAATATTTAGAACAGTATATATTATGAAAAATAACACGTAAACATCTTAAAGATGTCTCATAAGATTTTTACCCAAATCTTCATTGTAGTAATACCTTTTTTATAATAAGATGATAAATTATGTTTTCTTTTTATAGATTTGGAGAAAATCAAAGCTTACATTGATTCCTTCCGCTTTGGAGCCCCTCCTCATGCTGGTGGAGGCATTGGTAATGCTGCTATTGCTTAGAGATGATTCTGTAAACTCAAGTGAAAAGCAAAGGCTGTACAAGAGGCTTAGAAAGATAGCTTGATAGTTGCTGCCCTTTGCAGAGAACCTGAGTTCAGTTCCCAACACCCATGTAGCAGCTCACAAGCATTTCAAATTCCAGTTTCAGGGGACCTGATGCCATCTTCTGGCTTCAGCAGACTCCTGTGCACATGTTAGAGCATATAAACTCACATGTGTTCACACACATATATGTAAATAAAAATAATTCTTAAAAGTCATAGAACAGTCATTTTTCTACGTGGTTAGAACAGAATTGATATTTTCATGTCAAAGAATAAAGTTAAACCCTTATCTAACTCCAGATAAAAACAATAACGCAGAATGGATCAAAGACCTAAATGAAAAGCCTAACACTATAAAACTCTCAGAAGTAAGCAGCAAAAGCATCAAGACATTGGATTTGACCATGGTTTCTTAGATACAGTACCTATGGTACACACAGCTAGGTGATTAATAGCCAAATTGAACTTAGGGGAAATTTTAAATTTTGCATCAAAAGATAGGCAACATGTACAAGACTGTGTTTGACCCCCAGCACTTAAAAGGGGGAAAAGCAATTATGTAACATATCGATGCTTGCCTTTCTGCCTAGTCCCTGGATTTTATCCCCAGCACCAACTTTAGGAACAGAGGGCAATTGGGGAAAGAAAGTAAAGGGGGACTGAAGAGATGTTGGGATTATTTGCTACTCTTACAGACAACTGGAGTTGGATTCCCAGCGACCACATCAGGGGGCTCACGGGCACCTGAAAACATGTCCATATACACAGATGTGTAATTATAGAAATAATTTTCTAAAGTTAAAAACAGATGAGAGTAAAAAGACAGTTCAAATAATCAGAACAAATATTTATAGGCTATATATTCTATAAGATGAATATCCAGAATAAGTAAAACTCAAGTTCAAAATGGGCAAAGAACCTAAACAGAAATTTCTCCAAAAGAGGATGCAGATGTTTGGTGAACACATGAGCAGATGCTTAGCAGCACCAGTCATTAGAAAGGTCCACCTTCGCATGGCTAGAATGGCTGCTACCTTAGCATGGAATAATTACACGAGGAAGAATACGGAAGGGCAGTAAGCCCACTGCCAGAAAACAGGGTTATAGTTCCTCAAAGAAAGAGATTCATTTATCATAGGATCCAACAGTTCACTTCTATGTGTATTCCCTAAAGAAAGAATTACAATATGATTTAGCAGTCCAGTTTTGTGATGTGCCCAAAAGAATTGGAAGTGACACATCAAAGAAGTACTTGTGCAGCCGGGCGGTGGTGGCGCATGCCTTTAATCCCAGCACTCGGGAGGCAGAGGCAGGCAGATCTCTGTGAGTTCTAGGCCGGGCTGGACCGACAGCCTCAAACAATACAGAGAAACCCTGTCTCGTAAAACCAAAAAAAAAGAAGAAGAAGAAGAAGTACTTGTGCATACATACATCTTCATAGTGGCTGAGACATGGATGCTGCCAGGCTTCCGTCGTGGGTAAATGGGCAGCAGAGTGTGGTACTGGTGACGGATCAGGACCAGAAGTATTTCAGATTTTGTATTTTCTTGGATTTTGGAATAATTTTATAGACTTTACCTTTGAGGTCTTTGAGTGCTTCTTGATGTTCCCAAAATTTCAGATTTTAGAACATTTGGATTTCTGGACTAAATATGGCCTATCAGGCCAATCAGTGTTAAAAAGAAAAGAATTTAGCTGTATTTCCAGATCCAGGGAGGCAGAGGCAGGAGGATCTCTGTGAGTTAGAGGCCAACCTGGTCTACAGATAGAGTTTCTGGTGTGTGGGTGGGGGGTGGGGTTTGATGTATGCTACAGCATAGATAAACTGTGGAGACGATACAAAAGGGCTAATTCTGTATGATTCTACTTTGCTGCTATTTTAGAGTGGTCAGGTTCAGAAGTGGAGAATATATTCGTGAATGTCTATGTTGTGGGAAGGAGGAAAAATAATTTAATAATTATGGAGTTAGGTTTTTTTATAGAGCTGCTTTTTTTTTTGGTTTTTACGAGACAGGGTTTCTCTGTATTGTTTTGGAGGCTATCGGTCCAGCCCGGCCTCGAACTCACAGAGATCCGCCTGCCTCTGCCTCCCGAGTGCTGGGATTAAAGGCGTGCGCCACCACCGCCCGGCTATAGAGCTATTTTATAAAATAAAATGATACATTCCACCAAAAAGTTGTTAGAACTGGTAAATGAGGTTTTCAAAAAAGGGATTAACTGTCATTTTCTTGTTCACAGGATTGGAAAGGGTGACGATGCTGTTTTTAGGATTGCATAATGTACGTCAGACATCAATGTTCCCTCGTGACCCCAAACGACTCACGCCTTAAAGCCACACTGTTTATTCTCTCCAATAATCTGCTATTGGTCAGACTATACCTGAGAAACTTAAGTTATGCAGTAGAATAACTGTCTTACTAAAGTGCCACGATTATTTTTTAAGTAGTTCAGTACAAATTAATTTAAGAAAAAGCATTTTAAACTTCAGATATGTTTCAATAGGAAATGCTTGAACTTTTTTTTGTTTATTTTTTTCGAGACAGGGTTTCTCTGTATTGTTTTGGAGGCTATCCTGGAATTGGCTCTGTAGACCAGGATGGCCTCAAACTCACAGAGATCCACCTGCCTCTGCCTCCCGAGTGCTAGGGTTAAAGGCGTGCGCCACCAATGCCCGGCTGCTTGAACATTTTAAATGAGAAATTTCTATCGTTAAAATTCAGTCTATCACTACAGAAATATTAGGGGAATTTTAAGCAGTTTAAGAATGCATAAATTTTTTCTATATTATGGTGGCCATAGTACTAATATCATAAATTTTCAGTATTTGAACTTTTAACTCTTGACATTAAGAAAGAATTGGAGAAATAACCAAGATTTAACATATACAAAATTGGTATGTCATGGGAAAATAGAGTATGAGTTCTTAAATGTTACCTGCAGAAATCACGTGAAGCAGATGAGAAAACTGGCTAGAAACAGTAACACCAAACAAAACATTGTTCAATTCTGAGGTTGAAATTCAATAAAAACTTAAAGCTAATGATAGTTTTGTGTGACTTTATAGAAATCTGATTATATAACTGGTTGTTGACATATATACATTGGGAAAATAAAAAGTAACTGCCTTACGTAAATATTAGATAAGAAAAGTAATAACAGAGCCAATGGTACATGGCAACGTGTGCCTGTAATCCCCAGCATTAAGGATGTGGGGACAGGAGGGACAGAAGGTCAAGATCATCCTCTGCTACATGAGAGCCTGTCTCACAAGAAAAGAAAGTACATGCGAGAGTAGCAGAAACATGCAAACATGTAAATATCTTACTATGTATCGGTGCCACTGAGAGAATGAACCACGAAGAAACACTGGCGACAGTATGTACTGGTCTGTCATGGCTACCACATACTGGGCACAGCTCAGTGTCCTGTCTGCCAAAGCAGGAGTTGATACTGTGCTCTACTGTAGCACTATCCCTAGAGACAAAACATCTATTTTTAGATGCTTGGTGATACCAGACATTCCCACTTGGACGGGGTAGCAGTGGACCTTAGCCTACATACAACACACTTTCGAGTTACATTTTTCTCCCCTGTAAAACTTGTTCCAGAGACTATCCTAGGGGTGATAAAACTTGATGTGCCTACATTGGAACTCTGTGCTACAGGTTAGCTGGGTCCCACTTTACCACAAAGCAGAAACAAAATACCTTGGGGTCTACAGATCAGGAACTAACTTTCTCAAGCTTGACTGTGGGTGACTCCAAAGCTTCGGGCCTTCCAAGTCAGCCATGCCCTTCATCCCTTCATCTCCACCTCTTTAGGAACCTCTGTGAGAGACCCTGTAGAGGGAGAAGAGGGGATCTGTGTATGTATATGCATATAAATAGCTATGAATGTGGCCCAACATTTGTAGATAACATAATTGAACTGTCAAAAAGTTAGAACACCCCTGCATACTATTGTACATGGAGTGGGCACCATATATGCCTTTGAAAACAATGTGTGGTCAGCATTAAGTAAACTGTAGGGGTCCAGGGTACAGAAATGGAAGGAGTCACGGCTCAGCATCTCATGCAGTGAGGGATTCAGTTGAGAATTTGTTCATCCTTCCTATGACTGGGGTCTGTGGGTCTAGATGTATATGTTCCCAAAGAGTAACACTTCAATTAGTAATGAGAGCGATCAAGTTCCAGCCTCGATTCTTTCTCAGGGTGCAGACTAGGGGCTTACAGCAATCTGGTAAGGCTTGGCAAAAAGGAATCTGAGGGAAAAGGACAACAAATCTGCTCACACACACATTCCTCTCGAGGCTCTTTATCTTTTCAACAAAGGGGTTTCCTTCTATCCCACAAGGCTTCCATTTTATTTACCCAATACAGATACAATTAGCAGGGATGTCAGATGTGCATATCTCTCAGCACCAGGAAGGCAGATAAAATCTTGAGAAAAATGGGTGCTTCGTGTCTCAGCGGGTATGTGACTTGTGAAGTGCCCAGGGAAACTCAAGAAGGGAGAAGAATGTTAGTGCATAACACTACATCTACATGGTTAGTTAACCTAGAAGTCCATAATTGGTCAGTGTAAAACAAGGAAAAAACACTGGAAGTTTATAATTAATGTAAAAAAGGAAGAGGCACTATATGCATTGTGTTTGCTTTTGTGTATCTGGAAACACAGCGCCAACAAAGTAATCATGGTGACTTGTATAAACTGGAAAGAAAATGGGCCTTTAATTCATATTAGCATTTTTCTCTAACTACTAGTAAATTCTCTCAACACTATATCAAATGAAGAAGCTACATGCCAAAAGCTGCAGCTTTAAGCCAAGCAAAGGGCTAAGTGAAGTGGGCATTAGTACCACTGATGGCCTGATGAGAAGGGATTCCTTTCTCTGGGGCTGGCTAAGCAGTCCGATGCTTTTTCCTGGATCTTGGGAATAAAGGCATACAAATGGTTGATTTCCTATGTTAAGATCTTGTATCAGCCAGGTGTTGGCACACACCTTTAATCCCAGCACTTAGGAGGTAGAGGCAGGCGCCTCTGAGTTCGAGGCCAGCCTGGTCTACAGAGCGAGTTCCAGGACAGTCTCCAAAACAATACAGAGAAACACTTGTCTTGAAAAACCACCTCTTGAGGTGGAGGTGAGTACAGAATATTGGTAGTTAAGGTAGAGCAAGGGCCAGTAGGCTGCACTCTTCGTGAGTCGGCTGTTAGAGGAATTGGTGCTGCCAGTCCTGCTTGCCAGTGGGGTCAGACGTTTGTGTCTCCTACTCAATGACTGTCTTTTGAGGCTCTGAATGTGCTGGGGTTTGGGGAATGGATTCCTCTATGAAAAAGAGGGATGACAGTGACTATTCAAAAGTCAGGTATCCCCAAGGCTTTACAAGTGGGGAGTTTTCTCCAGTGGAATTCCAATGTGTAGCCTGGTGAGTTTGTCGACTGAAATCTCACTGTATGATCTTGTAGACTACAACAAATTTGAGACACGTGAAGGAAATGTCCTGGAAATGTGAGGGTACTGTTCTGTTCTGCCATTCAAAGGTTTAGAGCTACAACACTATTGGTAGAGTGTTTGTCTGAGCCCCAGCACTGCATAAACAAAGCATTGTGGTGTATGCCTGTAACCTAACATTTAGGGATAGAAGCAGGAGGATCAGAGGTTCAAGACTGTCCTCAGCTACAAAATAAGTTTCAGGTCAGCTTGAACAACAGACTCAAAACCAGAGTATTAAATGTTCTTCCTCTGATTAGCCAAGTTTAGTGATACACATCTTGATATAACTAGTCTCAATTCTAGGAAAGCTGAGGCAGGGGCATCTAAAGTTTCATTCCAGCTCAGGTTGCATAGCAAGACCCTGTCTCAAAGGGAGGGAAATAGCTTCCTGTTGCAGTAGATGGGAACTAACACAGAAACCCACAACCAGACAGTGTGCAGAGAGTGAGAGATTTTGGAACACTAAATAGTAAATAGGATGTCCTCACCAAATCCTTCCCTTCAAAGTTCAGGAAGCTCTGTGGAAGTGGAGGAGGAAGGATTGTGAGCCAGTAGGAATGGATGACACCAAGAAAACAGACACAACAGGACTGATGCACATAGGAACGCAGAGACAGACAGTATGCATAGTGCCTGCACAGGTTCAGGCCAAAAGTCCCAGTGCTTAGAGGGGGAAGTAGACACAATCTCCCACCCCTAACCAGGAAGCTGTCTCCAGTACAGTTTCTTTGGATATATTAACCACACAAACGGGTAAGTCCCATGCCCAGCAGTGATGAACAACACAAAATGAATTCAATGGTATTTTTGTAGCATTGCTTTTTTGGGGCATTTTTGTCTTATCAGTCTTTTGCTTGTATATTATGATTTCCAATTTTGTGTTTTTAAGGGGCTTATGTGTATGTTTCTCCTGTTTTTTTTCTTTTTTAAATTCTGTTTTATTTGTTTGTTTGCTTATTTGGGGAATGGGTTGAGACAGGTTTTTCTCTGTGCAGCCTTAGCTGTTCTTGAACTCACTCTGTAGACCAAGCTGGCCTCGAACTCACTAAGATTCACCTGCCTCTGCCTCCCAAGTGCTGGGATTTGGGATTAAAGGCATGCACCACCACTGCCTAGCCTTATTTGCCTATTTTCTAAAGAGAAAGAAAGGACATGGAGTTGGCTAGGTGGGGAGAATCTGGGAAGAGTTGTATAGAGATTTTTCTTAATACAGTAATTTTTTTTTGTTTTTTTTTTTTCAAGACAGGGTTTCTCTGTAGTTTTGGAGGCTGTCCTGGAACTCTCTCTGTAGACCAGGCTGGCCTCGAACTCAGAGATCCGCCTGCCTCTGCCTCCCAAGTGCTGGGATTAAAGGTGTGCACCACGAACGCCCAGCATAAAGTAATTTTTAAAGTAATGATATCACATATACTCTGTTATTCACTCCCCTGCCCCATGATACCTTTTTACTTTCCTGGTGTCTTGAGTACTTCAGGTTATATAATCATAAAAATGAGAGAGAACATATGGAGATAGGAAAAATGAGGTGGGGGATAAACACTAAGGATGTTTGAGAAAGCCATAGAATTACATTAATATTTACCTAAAATTACATAAAATCTGTATAAGTGCATGTGTGTGCATATATACATATGTAGTTTAAATGATGTCATGCCACTAGGGCTGACAATGGTTCTCTCCAAGAGCCATAGACTGTATAATAAACCCAAGTACCAGGCATGAGAAATTGCCTTTTGAGTTTTGGTCAAGAGAGTGCAAGAGATTCCCAAAAACAATATAGGCTAGTGCTATTTCCCTTTGTTGCCCCCCAGAGGTTGAGAATAAGACCCTACTACTGAAGACAGTACACAGAACTAGGAGAATCCAAGCTGGATCTGACCTGAAAGACATCTTCCTGGGGACTGGCTTTCATAGAACCATCAAGTGCTAAACAAGCAGCCAGTATGCTACCCTGTCATATGCTTTTGCACCACAATAATGACCAGCACAGCAAGCTATCCCTTTGAGTGCAATAGTGGTACTCAATAGCTTATCAATAATGAGCAACTATCTAATTGGCCAGTTCAACTGTAGGGAAAGCATGCTTGGTACTGGAAACCTAGAGAACTACCTGGGATTAGTGAGGCATAGGTCTTAGAGGAGAATCTAGTACTACCACTACTAAACCAGCATAGTTCCTAACTGTATTCTAAATATCTAATCCTTTTACCCATGCTCACCCCTCATCAAGGAAACTTCTCTTTGCAATCAAGAGAGACCATTACAGAAAACCACAACTGGTCAAAATGCAGAAAAGAACTGTTGGCGAGATGCCCAGCTCAAATGAGTACACTTATTACATAACTCCTGCACCTAAGCCTCAGAGAACTTTGCAAAAGAGGGAATGGAAAAGCTATAAAAAGCTAAAGGACCAGGAAATTGACTATAGGATTGTGTCTCCTAGAAATATCAGGAACACTTCACTCATGATACCTCAACATGGCTGCTAAACAAGATTTGAACAAGGACACCAGTAGACATGCTACCATAGAAGGAGGAAATCTCTT